GTCCCGTCCCGTCCCGTCCCGTCCCGTCCCGTCCCTACCTTCATTCCTTCCTTCCTTCTTCTCTTCCTTTTACCATCCTTCCTCCTCTCTATTTTTTCTTTGACCGCTTTGAGAGGCAGTTGCACACTCACCTCGGCCTCTTTGCCCAAAACTGCCGCTCCATGCCACATATCCCAGTTCCAAATCACGACGCCTCTCACCGTTATCGCTCTTCACTATTAAACCCTCTCTTCCTCCACAGCCTGTCTATACTCTTTCTGTCTTTCTTTTCATCTATAGTCCTCAGCACCTGCCCCGTTTCCTAACACCACCGTGCTTGCCTAATGCGAAACGGACCTATGCCTTAATGCACCGCTTTTCACGGATCCGCTATATCTGACTGTCTGGGCGATGCTTAATATCTGCCGTTGTATTTCTTACCAATTCCGTTCCTTCTTCGCTACTCTCTTTTTCACACTTGTATGAACTGTGAAACGTATTTTATTGCGTTATATCACGAATTGATACAGTGTTTTATTTACTAGTTACTGCATACCAATCATTTAAGGAAACAAAAATATTTTTAAAACCTTACTTTGTGTACAACATACATTATTGCTAATTTTAATAAAAGTATCGCTATAAATATTGACACAATTATGACGATTGTTCAAAGATATTTTTCAATGTAAAAGATGGTGAAGAGCCAAGTATGCTCAAATTAAAATCATCAAATTTTTTTCAACATCTTCAAATTTATGTACACTAATTTTTTAATGAAATCTGAGAAAAAAACAACAAGAAGAAGTTAATACATTTTTTACAGAGTAATATTTTCCACTCGAAACCAATTAAATCTTTGAAACATACTTATTCCTTTCACATCGTAAACATCAATGAAACAATCATCACAAACGCAGCAAGGCTAACAGGGTGCCAACAAGATAACTCTTTTTGATGTTTCGAGTTTCTTTTTATAGACAAGATTTTTTTGGACTAGAGCATTATTTCGTTGTAGAACTCTGGGCATATCTCTCGCCGCCCGCC